TTCAGTTTGGTAGGCCTCTTTGGGCATCTAATTGGATAGCTAGCAAACACTCAGATAATCAATTTAAATTTCGTGATATAATAAATCTTGCAAAAACCAAACTTCTTGGAAGTACTTTTAGTTGGGATAAAGGTAAATTTAATAGCCAATGGAAGAGGATTATCACTCTTGCATTAATTGCATGCACTGCTGTGTTATATGTCTTTCCAGCATCAAGCATTACACCAGAACTTATTAGGGCACACATGGTTACTCTGATTGCAATTGATAAAGATTATGAAAATTATATTATCACATATCCTTCTGAACTTATACTTTCAGAGGCTTCATTGGAACTAATGTCAGAGGGAAATATTTGGAAAGAAGTTCTTCAAGAATTAGATTTCACTTTTCGATCAGATGGTATTCTTGATGCTGGCAGTCAAAATGAACTTGCTGTAAGGTTATTATTGTTAAATGCTTGGTATCATTTGGTCCTCTCAAAAAAGTCAATTAACTCTAAGATATATATAAGCTAACATTTCTTAATTATCAGTTTTATTGTATTCTCATTCTCATTATCATATATATAGGTGGCATTTTTTTCTCGATTTTCAGTTATTGATTTCCTTCAAGAACTTTTTGGTGATACATTTCCAAAAGAAAAGTTTTCCCACTTCAATGATTTTATGTTAAGATTTACATATTTCATTCCAGTCACATATGTACCAGTTAAAGAAGATCTTATTTCAATCTATAAACAACGTGGTTAAGGTTGCTTGTCTAAACTCATTTTGGATTTGGCAAAATGGTAAAACCTTTAGTTTTGCTAAATTTTTACTAAGTATTTGATATAGTTTCGCCATTTTTATAAGCTTTGATATAGTTTTACCTTTTTCCAAATTTCGCAGATTTTTCAATAAGGTTTTAATACAATTTAACCAAGTTTTACTTTTACAATTTAAACGTCTGTCTAAACTCTTGATTTCGTTCAGCAACCTTAGACAAAGATTAAAAAAAGAAAAAAGTTAATTTTATATGATGATGTAATAACGTCAAACACTAAAATATCTTTACATATAATATGTGACTCTATCATGTCATGATAAAATATAGGAATTGAATAAAATAATAAAATTAATAAAATGTTTTTTTTTGATTGCATTTGGCATGTAAATATTATGATTCTGACCAACCATTTTATTACAATTGTATTCGACATGTTTTTGCCAATACAGTCGACTCCCTCTACAGTCACCCCCTATACAATCACATCATATAAATCCTCCGTTATAAGCATACCTTTTATAAAAACCAGTTCCTATTAACACTATATAAAAAAACCCTTCTATAATCACAATGTTATTATAGTCACATTATTTTGGAATCAATACTTAGTAATATTATAAAAAAATCCTTCTATATAATCATTTTTCACTATAGTCACACTTTTTATTTTTGGTTTTGAGGAGTGTGACAGTAGAAAGAGTCAACTGTATTTCTAGCCAAATCGAACTGACCAATCATTTTACATTGAGTATATCACATGACTATAACTACATGATATAAAAACCAATCGCACCCCCCTTTTAAATCAGCTGATTCTGACATACCTCTAATGCATTATTCTAAAAAAATAATAAAAAGAATCATTCTGATAGAATAATAATACTTCATTTTAAAGGAATGATAGAAAGAACCATTTGAATAGAATAATAAAAAGAATCATTTTGATAGAATAATAATACATCGTTCTAAAAAATGATAGAAAGAATTATTCTAATAAAATGATAAATCATCATTCTAAAGGAATGATTTTATTATTATTCCAAAAAAATGATTATTTATTCATCATTCTATTGGAATGATTCTGTCTATCATTCTGATTATACATGAAGTCGAAATGAAAAGTCGAAATAGTCGAAATTACATCATATCACATGATTTTTTATATATAGAAAAAACAAAAAAA